GGTGTACCTAATAAAGTGGCCGGTGAGTGTATGTGTATATACTGTATATGTTGCTGTTTTGTCCTATTTCTTTCTGTGTTCAATTCCATTGTACAGACTTGCAATAAAAACTATTCTATTGTTTAATCTAATATTTCTTAATTTAATTTTTGCTGGCTAATTTTTGCAGTGTAGAGACTTTCTGGAACTGTCTGACAAACACACATGCCACCCACACACCCACATGTTTAAAAACATTTTGACTGCCACAGACTGCAAAAAGATAATAAAAAGCTGTGCTCATTCACTTGATATAAAAGTGTAGGGCTCTACTGCAGACATCACGACTGCCACTCAGAGTTGCTGTAATTTTGTAAAGGAAAGAAAGATTTAGTAATTGGAAAATCCAAAAGCAAATCATTCAGTAACAATGAAAAAGTTGCATCAGTAAAAAAAAGTTTTAAAGGACAGTATTTGAAAGAGACGTTTTTTTAACATAAAAAATATAGGAAAGCTTAACAATAACAAGAGTTCAAATAAATCTGCTTATAAAAATAACCTCACTGTATTTAATGGACAAGTAAAGGTCAAGTGTGTCTGACTGTGTGCCAGTGTTTTGGGCATCTAGAGAAAAAAGTAAGCAGATGTGAGACAATGAATGAGGCACAGATGAAGTGCTTGTTTTCTCTAGAGATGCTTGTGAAGCCAGGAGGCGAAACATGACATGAATTCAGAGTGATACACAACCAAATCTGTTAGACTTTGTCCGATGGGACAAATGATAGCCACAAAAACACACAGGGGCTGAGGGGGAAAACCCATTTGATGGGCTGGGMGTTGGAGAGAGGCCAGAGTGAGACAAAAAATAAAGCAGACAGTGGAGTTCAAAATACAAACAGTTCATAAAAAAGGAGGAATTTCTTCTTTTGATTAGTCAACCAGAAAAAGTGTTTTACTGGAAAGACTCAGTTGGAGAAGGGTCGCAACCACAGCCATTCATTCAGTTGTACAGTATTAGATAATTCATGCTGGATGCTCCACCCTGACAAATGGGCCATGGATCTTTCTTATACTGGAGTTCTGGGAAATAAAAATTCAAATTTTTATATTCCACATGGGCATTACCGTGTGAGGGTAATTTGAAAGATCTGGTATCCAGCAATGAAAGAGGCCAGCCTGGTCAGGCTCTGTTTCCCAGAGCCCCCAACACCCACCAACAAGGCATTACCTCCTGGCGTTCGGAGTACTCTCGAAATCTGAACACACAAAACATGGGTTCAAATGTTAGGACTGGATTTTGTGTGGCAACTTTTTAATTGAAACAAAATCACTAGGGAGGCTGTGTAAACAAATGAAAGAGCGAAATTTAAAACCTATGACAAGTTTGAAAAAAACATATGGCTTACTGGATGCCCTACGTTTACATGGTCATTTACTCTTTCGTACAAATAATTGAATTAGATCTGACAAAAAAGAACATCTGTAAATTACCTTGATCATGTGGATCATTGCATCCTGAAAGAACACCATGTCCATACTAGTACCCCTGACGCTCTCATTGAAATGAAGCAAGAACATGTTCAGACGTTCTTTTAAACTGTCAAATGACCCAATAGGTTCGTAGACTTTGGGCAAATCAAAGTCYGACTCTTCTGGCTCTTCCCCTGGGAGGAAAGTCATTTCATAAGATTTTAAGCAAAGAAAGAATAAATTTTTTTGAAAAATAAAATTCTTTTTAAACATTTGTTTCCTTTCACATGTACCTGTAGCTTCAGGAGCATTTTGTAGAAAGTCAACAAAGAATGTTTCGACTCCAAAGTCAACCGTCTTCATGTGCTCCTCCCCAAGCTCCTCTTGCACCAGTTTTGCCAAAGCTTTGTCAAACCATTCCACATCCTCAGGCATCGTGAATCTATCGGCTATCACGCGTTTGCACTCGTGCTTCCRCAGTGCCAGCAAAACCTGAAAATTCATGGTTATGAGTTAATGTTTTCATTCCACACAGAAGGGAAGGGGGATGAAGTGAAAGGGATTGCTCTGTTCCAATTTCTATTCAATCAGATTTTTAAGCTGATGACTAGTCTGAATGAAGCCAAGACCAAAATGGATTGCTGTCATGTTTAAACAAATTCAATCTTTAAAAAAAAGATATAAATCCACAGTGTTTTTTTTTTTTTGACAATTTATAAAATATTTTCATTACAGTCCATTTTGTATTAAACAATCATTGTAGTTTTATATGTAGTCATTAGCAAATGACAGCAGCCAGTTGCAACACTTCTGGTGCAGCCTGGGGCAAGACAGCAGCTTTCAGCTTTGGGCTTGGCTCCACTCTGACTCGCCATTATTGCATCATTCCAGTCCAAAATAATCTCTTTTTCTCTAAGCTGAAGCTACCCAAAGAGCTATCTACATCTGATATCATATTTATTCCCCATAACCTTTACACAGAACTCCACTTTAAGAGCTCTAAAATAGTGGATCATTGGTGGAAGAAGAGGCACCAACAATTTACTGAAGAAAGAAAAGAGTAAATGAGCCACGGGATTAAAGATAGTTTAATGCATTTCTTCAACATTGTAAAATTTAATTTGTGAGGATAAACCAAGTCCTCCTGAAACTGTTTCAGTTTGACAGCTTATAATAATTTCACACAATTTAATGTTTATGTTGGATGGCATGTAAGTAAAGATAAAATGTTATTCTGCTTTTAAAAAGACACATTGTGTTTACATTAATACTGCCATTTGATGTACTTAAATTTGTTTAATGGTTATGTCAAACACAAAATTTATAACTCTGTAAACAACTGTTTTTGTTTTAAACTATCTATTTTACTTTTAACATTTCATATTTATCTTCTCATTGAACATTCCTGCACAGTTGTCATGTTGGTGCACACAAGGAAGCCAGGGAACAGACACAAAAACTCAAAAAAGAAAAACAAACTTTTATTAACAAAATGAAAAGGCGGCTCTTGTTTTCAGGAGACAGGGTCAGGATAGACGTGTAACATATTGTATTATTTTCTGCTTTGCTGCTGGTGCTTGGCAATTTGTTTGGGGAATTTCTTCAACTCACCGGATTACCTACCTTTTCACGGTTCTACTTCTAGTTCTAAATCACCCTTGATATAGTTTGTTCTTATTGGGACTGTGCTTAAATCATCTTTTATTTTTCAACACTTCTTGGTTTTATTTGTGTATTTTGGGATCTTGTAGCTCTCGTTAAAGTTTGCTTAGCATCATGGGTACTTCTTCTCCGACCTCGTCTTTCCTCACTTGCTCCGTGTGTGAGATGTTTAGTTCCTCCCCTGCCTCCTTTAGCGATGGCAACATTTGTATTAAATGTGGACTAATGGCAGCTTTAGAGCCAACAGCTAGCCAGGCTAGCACTGAGCTGCCGAGAGAAGCCTCTTCTGTAAGTGGTCCCTCGGTGGATTCCGTGAGGTCACCACCTCAAGCTAGCTGGGTGATGGCTTAGAAAAAGCACAGTGCTAAATCTAAACTTCCAGACCGTCAACCGGTGATATTTCTAATCACTTCTCCCCACTCAGTGACACTGATCAAGGAACAGACCCTGGTTATTGGCAGCTCCATAGTCCGAAACGTGGATTTAGGGACTCTAACAACCATGATTAAATGCATTCCAGGGGCCAGAGCGGGCAACTTAGAATCTTACTTGAAACTACTAGCTAATGCTAATACTAGGTACCGTAAGATTGTGATTCACAATGACACTAGGTTAGACAAATCAGAGTTTACCAAAATTAACTTTGCTTAAGTCTGTAACTTTGCAAAGACTATGTCGGACTCTGTAGCTTTCTCTGGTCCTCTTCCCAACCTGACCAGTGATGACATGTTTAGTCGTTTGACTTCATTTAACCGCTGGTCATCTAAGTGGTGTCCTGAAAATAACGTCGGCTACATAGATAACTGGAGTTCTTTCTGGGGGAAACCTGGTCTGATGCTGAGAGATGGCATCCATCCCACCATGACCGGAGCTGCTCTCCTTTCTAAGAATTTAGCTGACTTTGCTGACCACAGAACTTATTGACAATCCGGGGTCCAGACTAGGAAGCAGAGTTGTAGTCTTACACACATCTCTGCTGCTTCTCCTTTACCCACCCAAACCCTCATTAAGATTGTGTCAGCCCACCCACGGACCAAATTAAATAAATATAAAAACTCTAGAAAAATAAATCATAAAAATCTTATAAAAAATAAACACAGTTACTTTACTAGAACAAAACAATAAAACTATTAGGTGTGGCTTATTAAACATCAGATCTCTTTCTTCTAAGTCTCTGTTAGTTAATGATCTGATAACTGTTCATCATATTGATTTAATCTGTCTTACTGAAACCTGGTTACAACAGGAGGATTTTGTTAGTATAAATGAATCCACTCCTGTTAATTATTTAAATGTTCATGTTCCTAGAACAACAGGTCATGGTAGAGGAGTAGCTGCAGTTTATAAGTAAGAACTATTAATTAATGCTAAATCAAATATTAGTTATAATTCGTTTGAGTCTTTGTCCCTCTGTCTTTCTCATCCAAAATGGAAATAAAAAAACTCTTCTACTTGTAATTTATCGTCCACCAGACCCTTATTCTGTTTTTATCAGAATTATCAGATTTTCTGACTGGTTTATTATTAAATACTGATAAATTATAATAATGGGAGATTTTAACATTCATGTTGATAGTGAAAGTGATAGCTTAAATATACCCGAAGAAAGCCCACACAAGTGTGAGGAGAACGTGCAAACTCCCACACAGAAAGACCCCAGGTCCGAACCGGGGATCAGACCCAGGACCTTCTTGCTGTGAGGCATCAGTGCTAACGACTGAGCTGTCATGCTGCCAATATTTCATGTCATAATATATCATGTAGTCACAAGTGCAAAATACAGTAGAGTCCTAAATTTGTTCAATAGGCATACTAACATGAAAACAATAGTCACTAAAAAACAAGTGAAATGAATAAAACTCATTGTGGGTGTGATATAAAAATCTTCTCACCTTAACAGAGTGGACCACCTCAGCGGTTGTGTTGAGCATCCCTTGCCACACCCTGGAGAGATCTCTCAGGTTGAAGATGTAGTGGAACTTTGCAGGAGTCGGAAGCATCTTCCCTTTTGTCAGCTGCCAGAGGCGGCGAGTTAGACACACTAGACGAGGAACGATGCTTTGTACCTCCTCACAGAAACCACGGCSTGTGCAGAAGTGGCCCTCGCCAATCACACCTGGGCCAAAGGGACGAGTTACACATTTTTAAACTACAGGATGCAGGATGCATTAGAAATTAATCATATTTAGCAGTTCATTCTATCAAATACAGATAAAATGCTATTACAGATTATGTAAACTATTTTCCTTATTTTCAGTATTCTTGTTCCCATGTTATTTGTAGCATCTGACAAATTGCCAAACTTACACAAAAACAGTTTCATTAAAAATATACTTGAATAGTAAATTTGCCACTGTTTTACCCACCAAATATTTTATCTATGGAGGCATTTGATGGCAGTGTACAGTTAAAGATGGAGAACTGCCTTTTCAGTCTTTGTGGGATGTCATTACGGCCTCCGCCTGGATGAATCATGGCTGCCAGGAACTGAATGTCAACAATATTGGTGAATTCGCCAGGTTTGTCCAGATTGTAGAAGCCCTTTTGCTCCATAAGCTGCCTGACAATTTCATTAGTCACCTACGATGAAAAGCAAATATAAATCCTTAGATTTATTGCTTTAAGACTCTTTTGTAAAGATCCAGATAAAGATACAAAGAGAAATGTTTCATGGATTTCTCACCTGATCTCCCCATTCATTGATAACAGGCATGTTGATATCATCTACAAAAATTGCCATTTTCTTCCCAGCAGGGGGGCCATATGTGGTCCCCATTCTTTTATCTACGTAGCTCTCAATGGTCCTCTAAAAACATGATAACATCAAAACAGTTATAAGGCAGGTTCAGTGTGTTTTTTTAAAAGAAAAAATGGGATGGAGATGGTTGTCTTTATTTCCCCCAAGACAAAATCCCCTATGATGATTATAACTTTGTTTAGTGTGCAACTTAAAAAGGAGAAAACAAAACACAGTTTGTGGAGAATCCAGCTAATAAAAATGCATTTAAATTTAATAATCTAAAAATAAACTCACTTCACTGTTTTACCTGGAACATGAGTGGTGTGGTAGCAGAGGAGAAGTTGAGACTCTTGGCCATGTGAGTCTCAGGGTTGTACCTTGACATGTAGCTCTTGATGATCACAGTCTTTGCTGTTCCTTGCTCTCCAATCAGCAAAGCAGCCTTCAAATAATTAGATTGCAAATTAAGCATGTTATAAAACTGTAAAAATCAGTTAATTACTGAACTAATGTGAAAATTAAACATTAATTGTGGATGAAAGATGTTGATGTGCAGCTTTAATGAGCATCCTAGAATCATTTATGGAAAGAATAATTGAAGAAATAATATAGAAAGTTAAGAATTGTAATCAGAAAACAAAATCAGAAACAATCACTTTTAATTCAAATGCTAAATCTAATAAATTTAATTATTTCATAATTATTAAATATCAAGGAAAATTGTTTTTGATACTACACCATCAGTTAGTTAACCCGTTCACCTAAATCAAACATGGTCATGTTCTTGCAACATTAAATACTCAACATACAACGGTGTAGTATCAAAAACAAACATGGTCATGTTCTTGCAACATTAAATACTCAACATACAACTTATGTATAAACAGAACATTCTTATTCTGTCCACATTTAAAGCTCATTGGTTGGAGTATTCTATTTTTTCAGCCGCACAAACACGAACAAAAAAAGAGTCATTTCAAAATGTTGAGATGCTTTTTCTTGTCCAAAAGCCACACGTTATTTAGATCTAGAAAGTGTATTTGTGGAAAAAGTTTACCAAATTTAGTCACTGACGACTATCATGGTGTGCGTGTTTTGATTATTTTCAGGATTTGTTCTCTTCATGGTTATATTCTCTTTTGATATCTTTGCTTTGAGTTCTGTTACTTGTGTTTTTCTGTCTGCTTACATTGTGTAAGATTTACTTAGGTATTCTTGTGTAATTCTTGGTTCCGTTTCCAAATGTTCCCTGTGCCATTTTTCATTTACCTTCCGTCAGCCTCCTCAGTGATTCTCCAGGCAGCCTGCCACTTGCACCTGTTTCTGGTCTCCAGTCAGCTGAGTTGCCTCCAATATCTCATTAGCCATCTCTGTTTAGTCTTCTTCCATCTCCACCTCAGTCATTTAGGCTCCCTGTCTTATGTACTGGTCTCATTTGTGTGTCTCGTGCTTTCTCCTGAGTTTTGTAAAATTTGCTGCTATGTTGGCTTTCGGTTTTGCCTTTTTTTTTATAAAATATACTATATGAATTACTTGGCTTTCTCCTCTGTCATTAACATACTCAACAAATACAAAGCACACAGACCTTGAAGACCATTGGCGGGGAAAAAAAGTTTAAACCTGAAAACTTTTTCAATTCTTTGAGACTGAAGGTACCCGGATGGGCCCATGCCCATCAGTTATCTGCTATTGTGGACTGTTATTTATTTTCTGTATTATATTAATAAATGTTACCTTGCCCTGCTTGGCGATGGTCTGAATTAAAAAGTCTGTTCGAACATTGTCAACATTGGGGACCAAGATGGAGCTGTACTCTGGAGTGGAATCAGATGGATAAAAATATTCCTCAACTTTGGTGTTCCAGTGGACCCAGTGACCTGCAGAGAAAAAATATGTATGCATTGGAAGTTAAACTGACATGACAAAGATATTCAGTGCCCTGCAAAAATGTGTTTACTACACATAGACGTAACAATGCAATACTTTGAAATCAACAGCCAAGTTGTTTTTTCTTTGACCTCTCTTAAATAAATGCATCATCACCCTCTGCTGTGACATGGTAGTCAAACATGGTGTCCTCGCTGTCAGGAGCAATGTCTGGCAGATCCAGACAAATACTGTCATTTCCTCTGAGCCAGCAATCGAGCTTCCTGCGGTCCTCCAGCTCGAGTAAGGCTCCAGTGCTCCACATCAGAGCAAAAACRTACAGTCGCTCCAGGTGCTTCCCAGATAACTCACCACAATGCTCCTGCAGAGTAAGAATTAAGTTATTCAATTATGTCCAAAACAATTGAGTAATTATCAAATATTAGACAGTTAAAGAATCTCATCCCTCATCAGTATACATACAGTACATCCCTCCATGACTTCTGTTAGTTACAGGAAGCCACTAAACCTGATGAGCAGAAATGTAGGAGTACTGCATAAATTGTATATCACTGAAAGGATGGTTATCTTGAAAGCAATATAGGTTGGACACAGTTATCAAGGCTGATTGAGTBGGAAATCAATGCAAAATAAAAACGGTCTGACTAAATAAACAGGGGCTTGTACATTAGCTAATGCACAAACTGAACTCCAATTAGAAACAAATTCTTGTTTCTACAAACTGATGTTTAAATAGCCATGCAACAGGTAGAACATTGATTGTTCAAAACCTTTCTACAGAACCTTAATTTAGACTATCACTTAAAGGAACTCTGCTGATTTTATACATGTGATTTGTAGAAGATAGATGGATAGGTTTGTATAAAACAAAATAATCCCTGGTAATCTATGAGTGATGACTCTGAACCCAAACTACTTCCAAAAGCAAGTTTATACTTTTTTAAGCGATTCAACTTACATAGATACTTGAGTGAAGGTATGATTCACCAACAATATTTTTAAAGTAAAATGTGTTGATTAAAAGCAATATGTAAAATGTAACATGTTAATAATAGTACTTTTTAACATTTGCTAAAAATCAGGCTAACCTAAAGTAAACTTTGTAGTTGATAGAAGAAAAAAAAGAATTATTTCAAAAGGGAACAAGTTTRGTTTTTACAGCAAATTTTCCACATGTTAAAATCAGCTACTTTTTTTTCTCTAAAAGTAACTGACTACAGCATGTGTGTCCACTATCTTTCTGTCSATCTCAGATAAGCTTGTGTTCATTGTGTCCTCTGCATGACACAGTAACAGGCCACATTTCTGAATGTGTCAGTTGACTTTGTTGAATAAAAATGCCCACATAGTTTTACTGATCCTGGTAGCATGAATGCTGTGAGTTCAAAGGCTGCACAATCCATCTGTATTCCATGTTTTTGCTTTTAGAAAGTGAGATTTATCAAAGATACTCTGATTCTTTTCATATTATGATGTACTCTAGATATTTTAAATCTAAATTCTTTGCAATTTTTCACTCAAGATTTTTTTTAGAAAAGAGAGTGGCAAAGAAAATTGAGTGCACTGAAGTAAATAACAGAGTTGTGTTTTGTGTGAATCAAKTGTCTTGAAGAAGTGAGCAACTAGGACCTGCAGGGCAGAAAGTCCCCAGTAACAAGACAGGAACACACTGGGCTCAAACATATTTAGTATAAATGATCAATTTTTCCTTTGGATGCTTCTAACTCTTCAGGGCATTTTCACACTCTATTTTGGGATTTGAATGGGGAACATCTGTTTTTCCTAAGCATGCAAACTTTTACAAAATCCCGAATTTTAAAGATGCTCTACTTGTAAATGTTTCAGACTTTTTATTTTTTGCATCAGTCTGTTGAACCCCCACAAGTCCAGTTTTTGCTGCAAAACCTGTCCAYAAGAATTAATCGTGTCACGTTTGAGTGTAAAAATTCAAATAATGAGGTAATGGTAAAAGTCTGGTTTCTTCCACACATGCTGTTAGGCACTGCAATAAAGAAGTTGAATCTTAGTTTCATCAGATCAGAAGATTCAGTGATGAGGATGACGAAGGCTCTTGGGTATTTTTTATTTTTTTATTTTTTTACTATTACAAAAAATGTACTCTTCTTCAGATCTGGGATTTGACAAAAACATCTCACACAGGTCTATGAAAAGCATTCTGAATATTGGTTCCTTTTTTTTACTTTGAAAGTCTTGACCCTGAAAAAGAGCAGGACCTCCTTTTTATATTGGCTCTGAGTGCTTGAAGATGTTTTTTTGTTGTTGTTAAAAACAAAATGGCATTTATTGTAGCACTCAGGCTCATCAGCATCCAACTGTTTGACTTTACATTGAGTGTCAAGACTTTCATTCACATTTCCTCTTTTACTTGATCAATTTACTTGAAGAAGAAAAGAGGGGAGCTGTTTAACCATGGACAGTTTCTGCAGACAAAGCACATGCTGCACCATTACCTTTGGTGGAATGAGTCCCTGGAGCATGTTTATACACTGCATGATGACAAACGCTTCCAACACGTCCATCTTGAACTCTAATGACTGCACACTGAAACGGTATATGTCAGGGAAGGAGGACGAGAAGAGCTGCCTCAGCGTCTYTGCCTCCTGAGGTGAACGTTTTTTCAACCAGCCCTGAGGAAGAAACACACAGTAAGTGCCATACCATACCACAAGCATCACGGTTATAAAGTTTAATTGTGTGTGGGGGGGGGAGGGGGTGGGGTTCAATCACTTAGTTTATTCACCTCCAGGATGGGGCTCCAGCTGAGAACAGAGGAGCTCATAAACACCATTCCGTTGCGAGACACAGTAGCAGGTGAGGCGTTATCAATGTTGTGTGGCTCAAAAACGACTTTACAGTTTGGAGCCATTGGTATGCGATCTCCATTTGCCAGAGTAAGAGTTCGGTTGTCATCCAAAACTGAGTTTAAGTTTTCAATCCAAATGGCATCAACAGGTCCATCCAGGACAATCCAGATGTGCTCTCCTGAGAGAACGAATGTGTACATGTATGTAAAATGAGTGACGCATAAAAACACGAGCTCAGTTTATATCCAAATGTGTTAAGATGAGAAACACCTGAGTTATCTTCTTTTATTGTTCATTTGTTGGTATTTTATTAGAAATCTGACATTCAAATCTGCACTGCTTTCAGATGACAGAATAATACAACAAAACACAAGGAAGGATAACAGAAAAGTTTATTTAAACTAAATAAAAGTTGTGTTTTTTATGTTTTTTAGACTGAGTTCAGCCACCATACAAAGGAAGCTCATTTCAGCAGCTTGTATCCGGGATCTTATTCTTTCGGTCATAATCCGGACCTCATGACAATAGGTGATGGT